TTGGGCTCCTGCTTGGGGCATCCAGCAAAAGGCCCCCACACATCCTATAAAGGAGCTCTAACTCTCCACTTGGGCCTTAAACTTGAAGGCATCATCACCCTGCTCTCAGATTGCTCCCATCTATCTCCCAGTCACTTTCTTTTCTCCCTTCCCTTTGTTTTATCTCTTCTTCAGCACACATTGTCTTCCATCCCATTCACACCCTGCTCCATTCTTCATTCCCTTTCTTTTAGGAGCACCCCGTGCAACAGTCGAAAGCCGAGCGCTAATGCAAGAGTCTTCTATGAGACTTATGTGACGGTCAACCCCTTTTTCCCACCTAATTCTTTGTTAGGATTCTCTTTCCAACACGCTGCCCTTCATGCCGCCCTGCTGGAACCCTCTCTCGTGTGGTCACCTCGCTGCAGAATGGTGGCAATGGTGATCAGAAGCAGGGGGAGAGGCTGGGTGCTATTTTYGCTACCTGTGCAGCATGTTGACTCAAGTCAACTGGCAGCTCTCCTGGTTGTCCAGGAAGATGTTGGCACTTGGATGCTTTCTTTCCCAAACATCTTCGTGYGCAACCGGGGCAGTCATGTCAAGTGCCTGTTAGTCCAAAAGGGACAGTAGGTCCTTACCCACCCCATGTGGCAGAGCCTCAGGCCACACCAGCAATCTCTGAGCTTTAATAGGAGAGCTCTGGGATGCAAGTGAGAAGGAGAGGATGAGCTGCAGGAAACGCACTGGGGTGGGCAGGAATGGGGAGTATTTTTATTTTGCTAAGAAATCCCAACCTGACGCCAGGGCCGTAAGCTTCTTGTGTAAGAGCATTCCAGACAGACACCTTCCAAGGAATGACATAGCCGTGACATACGCCCAAGTAGAAGCCCATGTTAATGTGCATTTGGATAAAACTGTCAGCTTGAACATCAACCTGTCTAATAAAACCTGGTATTTTCCAAACACACTCCTTGGAGATGTTTGTTTTGCTTCTCTCGCCAGAGTGGTGCAACCGCCCAGACTGGCTCTGGGCAGGGCAGGGTGGGTGTTCGGGACAGATGGGTGAGCGCAGCGCTGTGGCACCACGGGAAGGAGGGTGCTGGGGCCACGGGTGGCCTGGGAGGAGACAAGGCCTGAGCCCCAGCACCCCATGGACCCCGGTGGCCAGCCCTGGTCGGTGGGAGAGGTGCCGGCAGCAGGAAGGTGACTTTCCTGGTGACCCAGCTCAGGATGGGCCAACAAGGAGCGCGCTGCATCCCAGCAGAGCCCAGGCAGMTGGGCCACCCTTGCTGTTCCCTTTTCTACTCTTCCTATTAGAGGAGCTCCCTGCAGGGCTGTCACTCCAGTGGGGTCCTCAAGCATTGCCAGGAGGACCGAATTCAGCCGACACTTCACAGCCATGAGCTGCGCCTGTCCCACGAGTCCAACCGAGGTCCCACCCCAAGCTGTGCAGGATGGGTACTTGCTGGGCAAAGCGGTGGTGCCAGGATCCTTCAGACTATCCCCACGGCTGCCGAGGGCCCAACGTCACCCGAGGTCCCCTCGATGAGCAAGTGCTGCCTGGCTCCTCAGCACGTCRGTGGCTGCTAGAAGGTGACGCAGAGGCGGCGCTGCAGCTCCAGCCCTGGTTGCGCGTGTCCTGGTGCGGGGTGGACCTGCCGGTACCCGCTGGGCCCCTCGCGGGCACCGGCAGGTCCACCCCGCAACCATGCCCGGGGGCCTTGGCTGCTCCTCCTCGCGGGGCGGYGGCAGCACAACCTGCTGCTTCGCTGAGCTGACAAGGGCAGCGTGGCCCTGTCTGCGGGACGAGCTCTCACTGGCATGGAAAGATGCCCGTGGACCCCTCTTCATGTCTGCATGGAGTCAGCAACGGGCCCTCTCATCCTCCCCTCGCAGAGCACCGAGGCAGAGAGCAGCAACCCCTGCCCTCCAGCCTGGCACCCTGAGCCCCGTCGGGGCGCAGCGCACGCTCCGGTTCATCGGCGGGGGCGGCTGCAGGACGCCCTGGAGCCGCTCACAGTGCTGGGCTCTGCCATGCGACGAGCGCGACGCCCCGCGGGACTCAGCGCCGGCGCCACCGGGCCCAGCTCTGGCGGTACCCGCCGGGCCGCCTGCGCCGTCGCCCTCGCCCCAAGCTCTGCGTTAGCTCCGTCTCTTCCCCAGCGTGGGTGCAGCTCGTTCCTGGCACTGCCTGGGGTCCCCCCCGCAGGGACACCCGCCCCTGCTCCACGCAGGGGAAGGGGCGACGCTCCCCGGCGCGGCCRAGGCAGGGCCATGGGGCTGGCGGCACAACCAGGGAGCGCTGCCGTCTGCTGACCTCGGCCATCGGCCTAGCAAGGCAGCTCGTCCGAAAACGGTCGCTCCAAGAAAGCTGGAAGAGGGAAGGAATGTCTCGCTCGGCCATGGCTGCCTTGGGAAAGTCTGGAAAAAACGTGGCATCTCGAAGCGCGTGGAGGTCTGACTAGCGAAAGTGCCTTTTCCTTCCAAGGCTGCTTTATAGATGTGAATCATGAGAAATCAATGCTGCTGGCGGGGAGCAAGCCRGTCCCCCCGAGACGCGGTGCTGGCAGCAGCTCTGGCCTATCTCTTGGACAGAAAAGAGCCGCGTTTATCTCAGAAACRCTGGCAGGAGCCTGTGCTGCTGGCAGCCACCCGGCACCCAGATGTGGGACTGAGGAAGGACTGGGGGACTCAGGCTTTGGGGCTGCCGCGTGTCCCCGGGCAGGTTCCTGCAGGATTCCCGAGCGGTGCTGCCAACGCGCAACCAGAAGGCAGCGGGTTTATGAGCCCCGCTGCTTTGCTCGCTGTGGAAGGCGGCGAGACGCTTCCACCAGCTCCTGGGCACTGTCTGCCCCTGCTTGGGCACACGGAGCACCATGGCACGAGGCTGTCCCCGCGCTCAGCCCGCGGGGAACTCCGGTACTTCGCTCCGCACCTAAATGACCCCAAATAAAATAGGGCATGGCAATGCTTATTCCATATTTCCATAGTGCTCACTGCATCCTGGGTTTTCAAAAATGAAGGCCTTTTTTGAAAAGTTTTAGGCCCTTTGCAGGAGAAAGGGCAGGGGAATGTAACTTCTCAGATACACAAAGTGGTAATCCCTACGTGAGAGCCCAGTTTGGGTTAGTTTATTCCAGTTTAGTTTATTCCAGTTAGGGGGAGCATAGGAATATTAGATTCTCTCCAGATACTAACTCATAGGCAGGAATTAGGACTGTGAAACCTGAAACTGCTCAATCAAAAAAAAAAAAAAAAAAAAAAAAAGTATTTTGCCTATTAAAATGAATCATCTGCAACCATCTCACCATCCCCCACAGCCTTTCTACATTTCAGGCATAAAAATAACCCAGCCAGTCTTTTGCAAAAATGTAGATTCAATTTGTAACTTTTTGACAGTCACATTGCGTGTTGCAAAGAGGAAGGTAAGGAGGGAATGCCTGTAACACAGAGATCTTCCTTACTGCAGACGTAAGGTGGATGCTTCTTGCTCTAACGCATTGACACACACACCTCTCCAGTAACACCCACCGCCCTGGACGAGCACATGCCTTTCATTAGCAGCAATGGCATATGGATAATGTAGGAATTAATTGCCAGAAAAACACCTAAAACCTTTTGAAAACTATTTGGGAATGGGTGTAACTGCCAGGCAGCACGGAGCCAAATGCTTGCGTGCCGCTTTTTCACTGCCCACCAAATTTCTGATGGGCACTGCACAAAACAGGGGGTCCCTTCTCCACTTGTGGGAGAGAGCCCTGGAAATAGCGTGAGACACGGATGTGTCTCCCTGCTTCCCATGGACCATCCGGCTGCATTCAGCGGCAGCACAGAGGCTTTGCAGCCCCTTCACAATCACCTTCAGCCTCCTCCTAGGCACGACCTGTGCTCGGGGACCCTCCGGCAGGGACTAGGGACAGCAGGGAATATGAACTCCTGGACCACGTTAGCTGCAGGGAGGGTTATGTCCATTGCTACAGGCAGATACCGTTCTTGGGCAGCCCAAAAATGTGAACATATCAACCCTTGAGGGCATGACTAGCTGCATGGATTTCACTGCAGGGGCCTTCTGCAGCCAGAGCTGCAATTTCACTGTGTGCGTGGGGAATTTAACAAGTGATTCATGTTGATGAGCAAAGTAAAATAAGACTCGCTAAGATCAGATTCTAGGCAGGAGCAACTCTGGGAGGTCACAGACAGCTTGTTTCCAAGAGGCTTAAATGTAGTGGCTGAAGAAAATATCAGAAATTTCTCTTGTTCTTTTATGCTATCAAGAAAAAGAGCTTTTCCTGTGGAATAGTAGTCAGGAGGCAGATCATTCAGCAAGGGTAGGGGCAAGCTGCAGACCCTGGAGCCCTTGGCCATGCGCCATCAGTGCCGCACCGAGGCATGTTATTCTATCTCCTGCCTTCACACCCCTTGCCACACTTGATCCCTTCTATGAGTCTCCAAGACACGTAGCTTCCATGCAATGCTGGCACCCTCCAGCCACGAGAACTGAAAAAGCTCATGCAATGTGAGCTGGGGACTTTGCAACATCCCCCTGATTGCCCTCCAGGAGAAATCCCTACTCTAAGAATAGCATTTTGCTGCTGACCAGGAAAGCCTGGGCTGCTTACATCCAGGTCATATAATTTCCATACAAAATGAGCACAAGGCTGTAGGCAATCAGCTCGGAAAGCTGTTGCCTCTCTTCCCAACAGGACTATCTCTGCTCCTCAGCTGAGGATGATGATGATAACACCTGGTTGGCTGCTAGCACCAGCATAAGAGCAGGGTCAGCCTTAYAGCCAGGGTTGGCTGGGGAGGTGTTTTGGGAGAGGGCACTGTGTCTATCAAAAGGCTTTTTGGGATGCTMTCCTGGATGTTGTTTATTTAAGTCTCTTTGAAATGTGTTACTTGTTTTTGCCTGTTGAGTCTGTAGTGGCTAACAGGAGCAATGAGCCCTTGCAAACAACCCCTGCTTCAGGCACCACRGGCTCTGTCTGCAGAAGAAGGATGTCCTGGGAGCATCCTGCCAGGATATGTGACTGCAGGAATCAATGGAGAGGAGGCAGAACATGGTGCTCAATGTTTCTCTAGATCTTTGGTCTGAAGCAGGGAAGACTGATCCCTCAGGATGCAGGGAGCACAGTTCAACCCTGCTGCTCACTGCCTGCCTGGAATACCAAACCACAGTCATCACTTCAGGATTTGTCCAGCAGATGACTTCCTCTGGTGGTGCTTTCCACTCTGCTGTAATAACTTGTTTTTGGGATGTCCTCCTCAGCTGGAACAGAAGAGTGCAGTGTTTTGGAAGGTAAGACACTATGTAAGGGCTGGATGGGTCGCCTCAGCTCTCTTATACAGCTAAGCTCTCTTTTAAGAGCAGAAACAATCTCTATCATTTAAAAGACTTGCATGCAAAGCAGGGTTTTGTGGTGGTAGCACTCATATGATAAAGGCATTAAGGGTGGCTGAAAATCAATGTTTCCTGGTCACAGTTTTTTTTAAAAAAATTGATTTTTAGTCCAGTTTGCGCTGAGATTAAAAAAAAAAAAAAAAAAGTGAATGGGGATTCTAAAAAAACCTTGAATGTTGGAAACAATGAGGCAGGGTGATTTTTTTCGGAACTGCAAATAGAAGTGACACAAACAAGAATATCCACTTTGTGAACCTGGAAGCTAAGAATTGCCTCAGTTGAGACAGTCCTTCAGGAATCCCTAGTATGTCTCAAGTGCTCTCTCTGGTGCCATAAATGAATGCCAAAGGCAGGATGTTGAGAATAAATCGTTAGGCTCAAGAAGCTGCTAACTCCAGGTGGGCAAGGTCTGCTTGGAAAGCAGCCTAATACTCATGGGGCAGCAAAAATTCCCTTGTGTTTTTCAGGTAGCCAGATCTGTTTATAGCTTTTGACTGCCACATCAGCACCCCTGCCTTCTGAGCATCATATGCCTTGCACATATCCTCACTTTTGACCAAAATCAGTGTTTGTGTGTGCTCCAGCTGTGCAAGGTCTTTGTCCTGTGCAGGTGCTTCCTGCTTGTCAGCTAAATCCAGGAGCCACTTCACACTCAGCAGCACTTGGGAAATCTGGGCAACTAATTTTCTCATTTGTCTCTTCCACCAGTTAGGTCAATGTGTCCTCTGCTACTCTCCAATTACAACAGTGTGCAGAAAGTGGGAGACAAGGGAGTATTGGGAGCACTGGAGATCATTCAGGAGCTCACCACCTTCCCCTTGATTTTGTCTGATAGTAGCATTCATTCTCCTGGCAAAAGCAACTGAGATCTCTAGCTTTTCTCCAAAGCTCCTCGGACACCAGGACTGCCAAGGACCTGATGTTTGGGGTTCAGCTGCTTGTTTGAAAGAGGAAGATAGACCTCGCTGTTCTCACCATTGCCTGGTCTCCAAATACACATGGGTGGAAGTGCATTGCATGGTCCTGGAGCTGCATTTCATCCACTGCAAAGTTGTTTCTCCAATGAGATGAGTGTAAGGAAAACTTATGCCATGAGGTAGGTCAAGCATTGTGCTGGTTGTCTGGTGAGTTCATGCAGCCTCTGTCCTTTGGGGCTTTCAAACTGCAGCAAGGTAAAGCTCTGAACAACCTGGTCTGATCTTGTAGCTGAGCCCCCTTTGAGCTCAAGGCTGGACTAGAGACATCCCAAGGCCCCTTTCAGACTGAAGTGTCCTGTGAATTGTCTGCTGTAGCAAAGACAACAGGCACAGTCACACAGCTGAAAAGCAGCTCGTTTCAGCTGGCTGCCCACAGCCTGCAGGAGCGGCGCAAGCAGAGTGTTTACAGGCCCCAGAGCAAACAAAACAGTTCTTAAGTGCAAGTCCCTCCATCTGGGGACTCTAGATTCCTGAAGCTCGGGACAGCCGGCAGCCTCTCTGAGAGGTCAATCTCGGCCTTCAGCCCATGGCTTTTGAAGGGTTCCTTGGTGAGATTTGGACTCAGATTTTTGTTAGAACTTGCTTTCCTAGCCGTGGTTGGAGGAACTCCAGGGTTATTTTGACATATGTACTCAGTGCTATAGACTCAAGTCATCCAGGCTGAACATTACTTCTGTGGAGAGCCCAATAATCAATATGTTTGGCCTAAAACGTGTGTATAATGCTGAATCATTAAGGCAAGCAAAGGCACAAGCTTTGCCCTGAAGTTCACACAGTTCAGACTATGGCACAGCCAMTATGGAGGGAACATGTGCAAAAGAGACAGGTGGAGTTTTACAGCGAGGTGGTTTGGGATGTAGACACAGGAGATGTGCCAAGACCAGGTGGATTTGCTATAAGGATCCTTAAACATGTGAGCTGGGCCTGGTGTCCATGGGACTGATTGCTTGAGAGAGGCGACTGGAAAAAGTCCTCAGCAGTAGCCAGACAGGTTGCTCCTTGCCTTGGGCAGCACAACGTGCTGATCTCGTGGTTGATCTCGGGGCAGGAGGTARAGCAGTGGTGGAGCACGGAGCTCAGCGGAGGCTGCGTGCAGGTAACCACAGGAGCGCTGCTGTTTGAGCTCCTGGTCACCGCTGGGATTTCTAAATCCGCCCTGCTGGGGAAGTCCCGCGTTGCCCGGCTGCTTGCTCGTGTCGCACACCTAGAGCTGCGCGTTCACGTGGCTGGATGTGTGAACTGCGTGCCCCAAGAGATGACTGCAATAAGGTTGCATGGCCGGTTCCCTGTAGCTGCAGTTAATTGCTGCTGTTATGAAATTTGGTTCCTCTCTGCAGGCCAGAGAAGCCTGGAGCTGGAAGCCCAACTCTGGYGCTTCCAGCTGTTTATAAGAAAGCGCAATTGTGCAGTTATGGAAGGAAATAAGACTAAATGCATCCTCTAAGTGACTTTAGCTTTCCAAGTACATCTGTGCTTTAATGTTTCCTTTTTGGGGGGGGCGGGGGGAGCTGACATTTTCTGTTTTTCCTCTTCCCATGACTCTTGCATCACTTCTCTCCTTGCTGTACCCCTGCTTGCTGGTCCTGACGGTGGTTGGGAGCCAGCCGAACGCCGCAGCACTATGTATAGAGGAGAGGAAAGGCCGGCAGGAGCCACAGCCGCTTCTGACCAATTGTAACCTATGGAAACTTTGTGTAAGCTGCAGCTGCAGGCTGAGCCCATGCCAAAACAAGGACTGTGTTACAGAGCCRACATACTCCAGGTACTTGAGCACCCATTTAATGCAGTGCTCTCTTCAGGCCTTTACTCTTGCATTGAAATGTTCTAAAACTGGAGAGGGAAACCCTCAACTTGGGGGGAAGAGGGAAAGAAGAGCAAAAAATTACAATTTTGAGTACTGAGGAAGCTTCCCAAAGGAGACTTACTGACTACACATATGCACTGTATGTGCATATATACATATATAAAAGCTTTCACTCAAGATCCTCTTTACAGGATGAGGTACAAGTTGCCTTGCTGGTGTTCAATGCCAGATAACTGCACTGTCACTGAGCCTCTATAAAGCACACGTGTCATCTTAAGGCTGGGCTGTGGTCTGCCCCTAGGYAGGGCACATGCTGCTCGCCAGCAGAAGCCAATAGCCAGAGTAAAACCTGCTCTGTGGAGGCCTCTTGGCCGTGCTGCCCTCCATGCGTGGCTCTCCATAGTAAAATTGGAGTGCCCRTTGCCTCAGTGTTGAATGGAAATGATGGGTGGGAAGCACAAAGGTGCCTCAGCCTGTGGCTCTGTCAGGTGGTGGGTGCTCTCCATACCGGCCTGAGCTGAGGCCAGCAGCTGCTTTCCTCCTTGCAGCAAATGTGGATGGGATTTTCAGTATATAGGCCTGCGCCTATAGCAGCCATTGGGAACAGCCTCATCTGGTGGGAGAAGATCCCGGCCATGGTCTCTCTGAGGAAGCTCTGCCCCAGCACTTGTGCCTGTAGGGCCAGGCACGGCCCTGCCACCTGAGGCATTGGGCAAGGAAGAACTGAGGGAAACTGTGTGGTTCTTCACATCCTGCGCTGGTGGTGACTGTAACCTGGCTGTGTTTCCCTGTGTCTCCCTTCTGATCGCAGATGACCCCAGAAAGAGCTCTCATGGAGGCCATGTGTCCTTGTGTCTGCTCAAYCTCTGCTGCCCGAGCTGTGGAGCTGGGAGGCAAACGGTGGCTATTGATCTGTTCCAGCACCAGCATCCCGAGCGGAGCCACGAGGGCTTTTGCCCRCGGCATTATCACAGCCATTGACTCCAGAGCCTCGTGTCCCACGGGAGGGACAAGCTGTACTYGCCCCAGCAAGGGCACCAGCTACGTGCAGAGCAACCTGGACCTTCATGGTGAGTCGTGCGGACCCCAGACCTGATACCCAGGGAGTGAGAAACTGTTCTCCTCATTCCTCCAAAATCCCAGTTGTGACTGTGGCTTCTAAAGGTGCCCCAGGAACTGAATTACAGGGACAGGTTGGCAGAAAATGACTTGAGCTTTGAACTCTCCCTCTTGCCTCAGTGCCTTAAGAAATCAAAAAGGATGAAAGTTATTAAATGAGTAAGTTGGAGATAGAGATTCAACWTGTAAAAATAAACTATTAAGCAATTCAGATATTTTTGCTAGGGATAGTGCCTTTAAAGTGAAGAGTACATTAAGGAGTAGGTTTAAGTGTACTTTTAAAGAGCTGATTTGGATGTTGTGTGGTAAAGATGGTATAAAAGTGTTCTGAAAGAGCAGGGTGGATGTTCCAAAGCTGATGCTCTGACATCCCAAAGGAGTCTGGCAGCATCTCATGGGTTCAGCTGTGGGAGCAGGATCGATGAGTTGTGCAGGTGACTGGATGTGCCAAAACTGGAGTTGATCTGGGATGGCGGGGGGGGATCTGTGGCATCGTGGTCCCTGGATTGGATGGGGAAAAGGCARGTGATGAAGGCTTTGGCCAGCAATAGCTGTGTTGAATGCTGAACTGCCGGYGCTGCCGTAGCTTCATTTAGAGCTGTGCAGCAGAAAGGTAGTTATTCTGCTCTGGGTTTGTTTGAGGCAACGCTGCTGGCCTGTGCTGCTGCAGTAGAGGAACTTCACTAGAGTCACTGGAGAAGAAGAAAAAGAAAAAAAGAATTAAAGAAGAAAGGAAAGATTTTGCACAACTCCTGGTGCTGTGGAACTATTTTTTGTTTCCATTGCTTGCAAACATTGTCATTTTGTATATAAACACAAAATGCCAAAATGTGAGTCAGCTTAATGGCAGTTTGGCTTGCACATGGAAACAAGCTGATAAATGCTGGAACTACAGTTGCAGAGGTGATTTATCTCAGTTCCAGAGTTTTTTGACGTGCCACTTCATGGCAGGTAGAATATGCTCCTATGATCTGTGAACACTGAGCTGAAACTAAAAAGTTCCCCTCTGCTGATGGGAAGCAACAGACATTTTAACATTTAGCCTTGACACACTTTGGAAAGTGGAAAGAAATGCAGACAACATTGCCTTATGAACAAAAGAGTCAAACTATTCAAAGGTGGGTTTTTTAATAGCTGCTAAATAAGTCTACTTCGTTGCACAACACTCTGCAAAACACAACAAAAGCTCCCATTCACACAGGAGAGCAGATTTGAGACTGTCTCAGGAATCTTAATTCCTGAATTTCTCAGCTTTGTTTTTCATAAGATGGATTCATAAAAATGCAAATAGATTTTGATGTAATGTCATTTTTTGTAACAAATGCTATAGTTACAATGCCATCCTGTAAACACTTAATTTTACACATGTAAATAATCCCATTCAGTTCAGCAAAACTAACTACATGCATAAAATTAAGCATGTGTGAAAGTGTCTACAGGATTGAGGCCAAAGATTGCAAAACAGTTATAATCCTCCATTTTCATTAGTTTCTTAAAATGTCTACTGTGAGTTTGAAATTCTTCCTGTTTTCTTAAGCTAAAGGTGATTTTTTTTTTTGCAGGGTCAGGTCAGATCTCGGATATTTGGGAAGGCATTAAAATCTCTAGATTTTAAGATCTCTAAGCTCTCGGCCATGGGAAAGCATTAAAATCTCTAAATCCTTCAAGACTGACTTGTCCTCAAGACTATTCTGTACAACTAGTTGTTTACTGGGCCAGACTACCAAAGCCAGAAGAGCACCCTGAGCAAGGGCCTTTCCTCAAGCGCTTGCCACCACTTGGCATGTGTCTTGTATTTGTTCATGTTTGGGACACAGGAGTTTTTTGGCTCACAGGAGGGATCTCCAATGCCACAAAGCCTTCTGAGCTCTTGGCTTGGCTCTTTCTTTGGTTGGATTTACAGGAAGATGATTGTTTGAGGGAACTGCCCCTATTTCTTGTTTCAAGCTTGATGGAATATCAAACTAATGGACTCTGTCTCCTAGTTTAACCAGTCTTGAGGTGTAGACAAGGTAGGAGAGCATGAAAAATCTGACAAAAATAAACACACACAAATCCAAGACAAACCAACTCTAAAGTGCTAGGGCAATAGGACTCTCATATTCCTTGTGCTGCAATACAAGGAAGCAAGAAATGCAGATTAAGGACAACTCCCTAATGGAGTCTACATGGTTCAGGCTATGAAATTAGGTGGCCTGTGGCTTTCCTGGCTGCTCTGCTGACATTTCTTTCCTTTGTATGGTCTAATCCTAGTCATCATCTGCCTGCTTTCTTTTGGAAATAGTCCTTCAGCATGAGATGARGAAATAAAATTGGGGACAAGGGACACATTTGTAGACAGCTATGGATGTTTTTGCCTTGCTGTTTGAGCGCCTTACCTATGTAGAAGGGACAAACATGGAAGTGATGAAATACATAGCATAATCTGTATAAACATAAATATTTTTGTCCTATTAACTGGGAAGTGCATGAAAACCCCACTTAGTCCTGATCCTGACAAAAGACAGTAACTTCTAACTCACATAGAAAATGTGGAAATCATTATGCTTTGCACAGCTGGGACTTCATAAAATGAGCTGTGATAAATGTGTGTTACCTGAAAGTGAACATCTGCAGAATAGGAACAGAAAGTTTCCTTGTCTTTTGTGAAGCCAAAGCTAAGGAAGGAACTGAAATAAGGATGGTGAAAAAGGAGAAAGTGGAAGATGGGGGGAAAAGTCACTTAACACAATAAGTCTGCTTTTCTATGGGATTAACTCAGCCCCTGCTTTCCTGCTTTGCCACAGCCTTTTYTCTCTCCATGAATGTGTTTCTGCATTCTAAAAATGACTACAGTGTTTTGTCACRCTATGTAACCCTTCAAATATCTTCATATATGACACCCTAAGTACTAGAGGACCAAGGTCGCTATTCCTATGTGTTGAAACACCGTTTGGGAGAAGATGGGGTAGCATAAGAATATCTTCAGCCTATGCTTTAACTTTGTACCTTCTTCAGGAGCATGTTCTCCAGGTCAGTGGGATATTAATAACTGAGCTTTGATGCACAATCTGTTTATTTGCACTAAAGAAATACTAAGGGGCAACTTGTGTACTTCTATGTCTGATCTTCAGAGTGGTTTTAGGAAACAGTTTACCAAACTGCTAGATAATATGTGGACTGGTTCAGGCACAAGGTGTGCCTGAAGATGGATCGCACCTCATAACATGGTAGGCAATGTGGTTTGTACCTATGTTTTTCAGCAAATAACTCACCTAGTTTGAGGTTAGTTTGTGCATGAGCTCAGGCATGAGGGTTTTTGTTTCCAGCTTATTTGACTTTGGTTTATTGGGCGTGACTTGGCATTCTTGTTATCCAATACAAGAAGATTTCCTGGTCTAAAAAGAAGCCCCCATTTTCCAAATCCTGATGGGATGCTGCACTGTATAGCCTGTCATTCTCTTTTTTATTCCACATTCCTACCTGCTATTGTTTYTGCACTCAACCTTTTATCAAGCACTTACTGCTTTCTTCTGTACAGCMGACTTAATATTTATCCTAGGTTGTAAAAGTTCACGTTTTCTCTTGTTTCCAACAAGAGGTATTTAATGTATTTGTCTAGTCCAGAAATAGCAGAGCCCAGACGTGGGTGACTTCACATTTTATTTCCWTAATATACTGCAGTTGTCAGGGCAGCAACATAAGTAAAAACGACTAGGAGACGAGATAGCAATCTCTGTCAAAGTCCTATGCATTTGTGTTTTGAGCAACATTTTCTTAGTATTCTGTTCCCTAGAAACAGAGCAGGGTGAGCAACAACCCTGTGTTCATACACAGTTTTAAGCAGAATTGTCTGGAAGGTATTTACTGCTCTTTGCCCTCAAGGTCCATTGATATCCCATCAAAAATTAAAGACRCACAGATTACCAAGCGCTCCATGGATATTAGTTGGAAAGTGAACCCTGGACTACATTACAGGCAGCAGCTTGCCCCAGGGGCTCTTCTCAGAAAGACAAGGGGGGACAGGGACCAAGCTCCCAGTTCTTCTCAGCTGTGATGCAAAGCTTGATTTACACCGGGRTCATTAGTCATATTGGCTTTTAAGAGGAGACCAACATGGGGTTATATTTAAGGAGAATATGAATGTAGTTATGTTCTGATGTGTTCATATATTGAACATGCTTTTATTATTTCCTGAGGCAAGGTAAATGTTTTCTCTGAGAATAGGGTATGCCCCATTTTAATTCTGCACGTTTTTGCAATTGCTACTAAGTGAAAGTTACTATGCTAATAATGCTAAAACATTGTCTTCTTTTCCTTTTTTTTAAGTACTTGGCTCTGAAAACCTAAAAATGATCTATTCATTTATAAAAAAAAAAAACTTTGATAGAAAGTATAAACTGTAGCAGTTAGCAGTTTAAACAATTTTAAATGCAAATGCAAAATGTATCACACCAATAGAATCAGAGGACTATGTTGGGCCACCACAATTTCAATCACAACACTTAACAAACTCTCCATATCCTCTTCTTGTTCCATCAAAGCCTTAGTGCTACCACCACATCAGTATGTTGAAACAAGTATAGTTTCCTGTGTTTGAAGACCTGAAGGAACTTCCTCTGTAGCCCTATCTGAGCTCATAGATCACAATGTATAGAAATCACGCTAAAGACAAACTGAAGATTGAAACAAGACTTCCTCAACCCCTTCCTGTWCATGTCTTAAAATCAGCTGTCACTGCTAAATTGCTCAGGTTATATCTACTCAGGTTGGGGTAGAGAGGAGAACATTGAGTCATCTATATTCCTAAGCAGTGGAGAAGTTAGCCACCAAGGTGAAATCTCAGGCATGGCTCAGAAGGTGGCTCTTTTCTATCCTTTCCATAAAACAAACAAACAAACAAAAAAACGAAAGCTGATATTATAGAAGGCAGCACACTTCTCTCACTGACAATAAGTGCTGTCACCCTACCTGCTCCCAGCCCAGCGGTACGTGGTGCCTTCTTCCTATCACAGAGCAAATGAGACCAGGGACCGACTCCCTAAAATGCCACAGCAATTCCCCTGTCCTCAAAATCTGAGATTTACAAAGGGTGTGGTACGTGCATAGCAAATGTTTTACAAAGCTTTAAGTTGTGTAATTCCCTGAAGCACTTGCTGCTGTGCAGTGCGGGGCTGCACAATCCTGAAGGCAGGATTCTCTCTGGATTTGTGGCAGGGCTTGCTTCAAAACCTGTGCATTTTCCAAAGGGCATTGCATAAACCTGTGCATAAAAACTCTCATCCCCACCTCCTTTCATTTGAATAATCCAAAGCCCTAAATAGAAAATGTGTTGCAATYGGCAAGGGGACTGTTGCACAAATCAGAAAACAATAAAGTCACACGTTGCAATGTTCACACACATCACATAAACGTCAATTCCTTTAAATCTCTATTGATCCCTCTGTCGTTATGCTGGAAAATCCTGTGCCATGCATTTCCACTGTAAGTGGAAACTTGCCTGTAAGTTTATAGGAATATTTCAGATAAATATTTTGAGGGTCCTTTTGCAGTTCCTGTAAAAAAGACTTCACTTGTCCTTTGGGCTCTTCAAAACTGCTATGGAGAGAGGCTGCATRAAAGAGCCAGCTGCATTAACAGCTCTTTAATTTCTCTATAGTGTTGGCTTCGTAAACCTTATTTTACAGGATCACACAATCTCTGTTGTAACACAGGTTGAGGAGAATACACGCCAGACCTTCAAGAGCAGAGGGGAGCAGATACCACCACAGCACAGGACCCCCTTTTTTTAGGGGAGATGGAGGTAAAACTTCTAGGGAAAGTAAAATATATTGGGCCTTTCCCTAAGTCAAAGAATTTTTTTCCTCTTCGTGCAATAAYGGTTGGGCATCTTATTTGCTCAACCAGAAGAAAACGGGCATCAAAGTTTCCCCACCACGAGTTGTAGTTATGAAAACATATTAGAGGTGGCTGTGTTTGTAAGCGACAGCATTGCTTCCTGTGCTCGGAAACGGAGCGAGTTTCTGTTTCAGTCTTTGCTGACTCAAGGCTGAGGTGCCCAAGCTGATTCAGCAGCTTGGCAAGTCAGGAGAACTTCTCGTTATGAATGGAATAAGTAATAAATTGTAAAGTTGGTCTTAATCTTCCAGAAATGTATTTTTGAGTGAAAATACCTCCTGGTGGTAGATATTTTACCAAAAAAAAAAGGTCATTATCTGTATTGTTTTCAGCTTAGGAGGCCACTTGAATGAGGCAATCATACAGCAGGCAGTATAACCCTGCTCCTGTAGGAGCTTGTGATTCCCACTTAGGTGAGCGAAGTTTTATCCTCCCCCTTGAGCCACAAATCAAATGAAAAGATCTTCTATTGCTTTATCTGCTTATTTCATCTGTGCCGCTCACTTGGGAAATGAAATTGTGTCAGTATTATGAACTGAATCAGAAAATCCGAATCTGAACCATAATTTCAGAAAGATGAAAACTGCAGAGTGAAATTAAAAAGAACAGCCACACTGAGAAAGTAAKAACACACCACTCATGCAGCTTCCCTTGCTTCGTATGGAAAGGATGCCAAAGGTAATCCTTGGGCTCTTCTTTTACATAAATATGAAAACAAAATCGTGAAATATATGTCATAATTTCTCTGAATTTAAAATGCATGGAAGAGCAACGGTTTTGCAAAATATTTTCTAGTGCTAGTTTGAGGATGGAAGTCAGAGAAGTTGTTTTCACGATGAAAACATGAGTGCTTTACTTGGAGATTCCCAAATTTGGAGCAGAGCTCGGGATGAACGCCAGGCCAGCCGACAAGCTTGCAGTTGCAGAAGTTTGTCAGAAAGCGAGATCCTGCTGCCTATCGAAGTAAGGACACAGGGAATGGGGCATCTGCAGTATCTCCCTTAAATCTTGCTGCCTCTGGGGGTACAAACAGCTTTTTAAGGTGTTTTCCTCCAATATTTTTGCTGTGTCAAGAGGCAGACAGGACAAACACTCACCAACTGTGACATCTATGCCCCTTTATTCTTTCAGGTTAAAGCTTTGCTTTATCGACATATAATAAAGTCCACAAACTTCTAAACAGCATTCCTCCTCCCAGGGATTAAAATATTTCTCTGCTGTTCTAGCTAGCAGTTCCCCCCTCATTTTCTTTAAATGGACCAAGTTCTGCCTCACCAAGGCAGCCTGCAACGTCTAAAAAAAGGATCGTGTGGGTTGCCACAGTTTAAGACACCCCCCGCTAAATGGTTTAATGCAGCTCCACCAGAAAATTGGTGGACAATATTATGAACACCAAACAAAAGTGAATTGGAAGAGCTGAGAAAGCTGTACCTCCAAAAGGGAAGCCAATCCGAATCTATAGACTGAAATATTTAGCATGATTTAAAATAAATGCTCAAATGGAATATGCATTTGTCTTTGCTACTGCAAAGTGTTTCCTCTAAGGCAGGCTTGGAGAAAGGAAACCAGGCACAGTGTGTTTTGGAAGGGCAGCCAGGATTCGTTGCAGGAGAACTACCAGAACTGAAATTCATACTGGCCTCAAAATCAATACTGAGCTTCTAGCTGTGTCGAGATGTGCTAACATCGCTTGCCAGGAAGAGGCTTCTTYCATAAAGGACGCTACAAACTTTATCCGCTCAGACACTGCTCTAGAGGGATGCACTAACTGTATTATCTTCCATAGCATTCAAGTCCTCCGGAAACAAAACCGAAAATAGAGCGGGGGAAAAAAAGACAGATATGGCTTTGAACCACTCTCTATCCTTTATAGAAAAATTTTACCCAAATACTTGACATAAGTATAAGCATCATGGGCATTTCTTGATTTCTGCTTACATGTAGGTAAGCTGCCACTGAAATTCAATGGGAAAAATGAGAATGGAGTGAAAAACGATGTAAGAATTGATCTTGAAACGCAGGTTTYTGGGGTGCTACACCAGCTTTCCCCCTGACAAGAGATATCAAACACGGGGTCTCTGCTCTCCTTTGCATATGTACATTGCAGTTATAAGTACAATTTGATAACGTCCAAATGAGCTGGTGAGCAGCCACGGCGCGTCACTTTGCGGTAACGCAGGTGTTCGCAGCTCTGCTTTCCCGTTACGAGCCCCACACAGGCTGGCCTGGGCAGGCGGCAGCCCTGACCTACTGCCCCGCTTGGCCTARGAGGTGCAAAGCGGGAGCGCAGCGGGGGGCTGCAGGCGACGACCCCGAGYGGGCTGAAAGCCAGGATCTGGAGCTTGCCAAAGGAGGGTTTTGGCAAGTCAGGTGCCTTCTTCAACTTCGTTTCAGTGCCTTTCAAAGCAGGAGGCCAGGGCCGGGAAAGAGGAGCCCGCTTCATTGCTGGAGATCAAAAGCAGTGTCTGGCTGGTAGCTAGACACAATTTGGAGTCATGYGGGTCCCGCCAGCAAAGGCTTGTGATGCGGTCAGGAGCTTTGATGTGATCCTTTCCCTCCCAATGCACAAAGTGCTGCTTTATTGAGCRAGGAGGGAACGGGACACATCTCCCCAGCTTCCCAAGGCACCTGAGCGCTGGCTCTGCTCRTCCTCCCTCTCCAGCACCCACATGCCGAGTGCAACTGCGGGCACGAACCGCTTCCCTTGTGCCTTGCAGGGGAGCTCTGGCGCCCGTACGTGCCCCATCCATCCGCCTCCTGCGGGCACCAAACCTGCTGCAGCTTYGTTGCCCGCGTTCTGCAAAGCCCAAGGGAAGCCCAACCAAGCCGGGCTGGGTAACAAAGCCAAGCGGCCTCAGCTTTTGAGCCACGCTAGATAATCCCCGTACCACAGATTAGACCTAAGCGTGGCACCTCTGATAAAATACTGCTTGGCCGAGCTATTAGTTGAAATCAGAGAGACAGTCACRTTGCAGCAGAAACAAAGCAGCTATTATTGACTGGGCTTCTTTTAATATAGATTATTTTGGTCCCATAGGACTGCAGAAAATGTGGGTTTTATCAAACCATTATGACACAGTGCCTAAAGATGTTAGAGAGGAAATTAAGGGAAAAAACACATAAGCTTTGGTTTCAATGTCTGTGTGGTAATATATTTTATTAGTATTAAAAAAAAAATAAAATAAAAAAGAGGGCATTTTCCTCTACTTAGTCTTCTTAAGAAGACAAAGGACTGAGGACCGAGATAAGGGTCTCGGAATGGATTGGATGTGGTGGGGGCAGAGATCTGGGAAAGGATCCCTTGGGAAACAGGATCGCTTGGGTGGGTGGGATGCGGGTGGGGAGAAGCACCCGAGGGGCAGGAGCAGGAAGGAGGCGCAGGGAAGCGTCCCGGGGGGGTGATAGGAGCCGCCTGGGAGGAAGAGATAGCGGGATTCGGGGAAGGGCACGTGGCGGGGCGCCGCTATCGGGGCGGCGGGGCGGCTGCGGAAGCGCCGAGCGGGCTGCGGGGCCGCGCGGGGAGCAGAGGCGCCC